CACATGATGGGGGGAAGGTGACTCCAGACCTCCTGAATTAGACACTTTGGGGGTGGGGCTCAGCAATCTGTGTTTGAACACACCCTCCAGGGGACTCTGATACACTCAGGTCTCCAAACCACTGCAGGCTTTCTCATCACAGGCAAGGTTGAACTATGGGCACAAGCTGCTTTGTTGTGGGGGCTGTCTGTGCCCTGTGGAGCGTTCGGCAGCAGCTCTGACCTCTATCCACTAGAACCCAGTGGCACACACCCTTCCTCCGCCCTACAGGTTACCACCCAAAATGTTCCCAGGCACATTTCCTGTAGCAAGTGTTATCAACTCTTGGGAGAAGAGACAAGAAGCTAATAAAAGTGATTACCTTTGGGTGCTGTGTGGAGGGAGTTTTGGAGGGATTTGCTTTTATTTTGTATGTTTCTATTGTGTGCTTGGGTCTTTAGGCTGTGTGTTGCTGAAATAAATCTCTAGGCCCCAGGTGGGGTCACTCCTTTCCAGGGTGCCCCATTAGCAATCCGAAATTTGAGAACATTCATATCCCTGAGAATGCTGTGCTTGACCCAGACATGCAGGGTGTCCAGTCGGCCGGTCCCCAAAGGCCAAGCCCACTCTGGGCCTTCTCACCCCCCAACAAGGATGGGAACTTCACCTCAGCCAATCAGACATTTCCTATTTGTCTCATCCTTGTTTATTCTTTATCCTACAAAAGCTTCTTGAGATTACCCACTTGGTGAAGTGTTAAATGTAGTTTGTATCGTCTAAATGGTCTTCTTTAATCACTTTTAAATAGGACGTTATGACAATGGGGAAGAAATGTTCTAGAAAGACTACCTATTGAAAGAGTGGAAACTAGGTTTTTCCACCACAGTTTTGACACCAACTCCAGCGTGTGGGGGTTTTCCCAAGCAATTCTCGGACGCCTGCAGGGTGTCCTACTGTTCAAATCCTTTCTAACACCACCTGGAGAGAGCGTCAGATGCCAACTGCGAGTCCAGGTTGTCACCTGAACTTCTGACTGACCAGACTGCAGGTTCTCGTGACTGCATCCTTGGGTTCTGTTAACTTAGTAGAGTGGCTCACAGAGCTCAGGAAGCCAGTTTCCTTACTAGACAACTGGCTTATCATTAAAGGATGTGACTCAGGAACAGCTAGCTGGAAGAGATGCCCAGGGCAAGAGAGAAAGGGAGACAGGGAGTGGGGCCCCCAGTCCTCACCGGGCACCCCACTCTCCTTCAGTTCCCATGTGGTCACCAACTGGAAGCTCTCAGAATCTCATCCTTTTGGGTTTTTTGTGGAGGCTTCATTATGCAGGCATAACTGATTAAATAATTGCCCATAGGTGACTGATTCAACCTCCATCCCCTCTCCCCTCCCTGAAAATCAGGGGCTTGCAGCTGAAAGTTCTAACTTTCATTCCTGCTTGGTTCCTCTGGCAACCAGCCCCCCCTCAGGTGGGCTCCGAAATTCACCTCATTAACATAACAAATAACATCTTTATCAGCTTCAATACAGGAAATTCCAAGGGTTTTAGGAGCATTGCTTAAAGATCAAACACATATGTCTTATTATAAATCACCATATCACACTGACTACAGGGCTTCTCAGCATCCATAACGCATGCTAACACATTTTTAATCTCTAAAGGTAGCTGAATCCTGGAAATGGCATGCCTCAGAACACTTCGGGAAGCACCGACCTAGCCAACACTGCTTCTGAGCCCTCACCATCCAGAAGAGAGTTGAAGGTGGCCAATGCTGGGCATTTTACCGGTAAAATACAGTGAAACAAATACTGGCAAATTAGTTACCGGTAAAACACAGTCTGGTCCTTCCACCCAGGTGAAAAATGTGCCCTGAGATAGGACGCTGCTTTCAGCAACTTTGGGTCATCCCCGGGGCAGTACATTCTTGAGAGGAGTCCCGCAGGCAGTCGTGGTCTCTGGTTATACCTCACTTTGGGGATGAACCACCTGTAGGTTCCCCAGGATCTGGAGGCGGGGGGACTTGGAGGTCTTCTGCCCTCTGCACCGCATTCCCCATCCTTGTCCCTTTGTTGGCCTTGTAGGCCCTCTCCTGGCTTCTTTGCCTTTTCTTGTCGCCTCCAAATGCTGATGCAGATTCTTCTCCACCTCCTCACCTGCCCCTTTTGGGGGATGGGGAGGGAGGTAAGAGAGGATGAAATTTTAAATTCTGGTAATGATTTTACTATTTATCCCAAAGGTCCCCAGGCATACAGCACACCTAGTGATCTATCAGGGCTTCCCTGGTGGCTGAGATAGTAAAGAATCTGCCTGCAATGCGGGAGACCTGGGTTCAATCCCTGGGTTGGGAAGATGGTCCAGAGGAGGTCCTGGCAGCCCACTCCAGTATTACTGACTGGAGAATCCCCATGGACAGAGGCGCCTGGCGGGCTGCAGTCCATGAGGTCGCCAAGAGTCAGACACAACTGAGCGACTCAGCATACAGTGATCTATCAAAAGCACGGGAAGTTAACGGAACCAACCCTTCAACTGCTGCTACTCAACCGATAACGGTGATCTTCTGTAGCTGCAAACACATCAAATCCTAACCATTTCTTTCCTCACTAAATGAGTTACTAGTCATCTAAGGGGCTCATAACAGGGCCTGGCATGTGGTGACTGCTGTTTTTGTTTTGTTTAGCCATTACTGTATCATCATGCTCTACATTCAACATTTCTCACCATTTAACAGCCTCTGGAATTATCCGGAGGGTCAATGAACAGCATTAAAGAATGAATGTGGAAAGAAGAGATAAGCATGTGACCTGACCCCCAAAGGAAGGACGATCTCCGCAGCGGTGGGAAAATGAGGATAGAGCCACAGGGACCTCTCTCGGGGTCCAGTGGTTAAGGCTCCAACTTCTACCGCAAAAGCACAGGTTCCAACCCCGTTTGAGGAATTAAGATCCCTCATACCGAACTATGCAGTCAAAAACAAAAACTGTAGGTCCACAGTGCTGTAGATAATGAGATTCTCTCACAGCCACGGATGCGAACTCAGGTGTCTCCCATTTTATACTGTTCCAGTGTGACTCCCCCCCACCCACAAGCAAGTGGTTCTCAAATTTGGGCACAGGATAGAATCCCTTGGAATCCCTCAGATGCTTGCTAAAAAGACCATCGGCTCCACCCTCCTGGGTTTCTGAATTAATAGGTTGGGGTAGATCCGGAGAATTTGCATCTGAAACAAGTTTTCAGATGCTGCTGACGCTCTTCTTTGGGAAGCATGCATCTGAAACAAGTTTTCAGATGCTGCTGACGCTCTTCTTTGGGAAGCACTGCCCTTCATGTTAACTTAGATCCCGGCGTTTAAATACACCCTTTGCTCAAATCAGGCTATGGGTCCAGCTCGTCGCCATCCATCAAGGTCCTGTCATTCATCGTGTTTGCTGTGTTGCACTTTTGCTTGTGAGAGGCATGCCCTCTTCTACAGGTCCTTGTACAGGTCGCTGATGAAAATGTGAACTGGACTGGCTAAGGACAAAATCCAGGTCAGGTTAATTAAACCCCTGCTTCAGGTTCAACCCATTATAATTACAGCAGTAGTTTCTCAATCCTGATTAAACTTTAACATCACAGGGGAAGGTTAAAAAACAACCAAAAAAATTTTTTTTATATCTCTCCCAGTGATTCTAATGTTCTCAGCAACTAGGGCTGAGAATCGCCATCTAGAGGTCTTACAGGTTTAACTTGTTAAATCAACCCGATTGAGCTGTCCTGCCCAAGTAGTTTTATTTAAGCTATTGTGTGGGATGTTGTCAAAACCTTTGCTGACATCATGTATGTTTTTCTACAGCTGGATCATTGCTCTTTCAAAACCATAAAATTATATTGGGCTAACATGACATGGTTTTAGGGAATCATACACATTTTAAAGATCAAATTTAAATATGTCTATAGTTGTTGAGGCCTTTTGCCTGGGGCTGATGTCAAGCTCACAGAATTGTATCCATATAGTTTAAATAATCCCAAACTAAAGATGTGTGTGTTTGCGCTGTCGCTCAGTCGTGTCCGACTATTTGCAACCCCATGGGCTGTAGCCAGCCAGGCTCCTCTGTCCATGGGATTTTCCAGGCACGAATACTGGAGTGGGTTGTCCTTTCCTCCTACAGGGGCTATTCCAGACCCAAGGATTCAACCCACATCTCTTGCATCTCCTGCATTGGCAGGCAGGTTCTTTACCACTGCGCCACCTGGGAAGCTCCCAGTGTAATGATACTTAACATTTATTGCCTGCAGACTTCATCTCAGCCACAGTGCTCAGTGCTCTTTATAAATATCCAAGCCTACAAAATAGCTATTGTTATTTCTATTTTACAGATTTGTGAAAGCAAGTTTCCGTTCTCGCTGACTCCGGGGCTCATGCTTTTAAATACTAGCTGTTGCTTCCATTTTTAATTGCCAGACACCATCTTGTTCTTCAAATGTTTTATGATGTCTTACAAGGATGCTAAAGATATGAGGAAGCATGAAATAAATAACTGGAATAAAGGCAGAGCAGAGAGAGACAAAATGAACTGTGGGTCAGAACAAAACTTTTGTGCATTTGCTAAAGGCAGGGTCCCCGGTTTGGCTTTGAGTGTTCTGAAAAGTCAAAATAGGAGCACATGTTCAACGGCTCAGTCAACACTGAACACAAACACTGCTCAGAAGGACCTGGGAAACCTGGGGCTTCTTAAAGATGACACTGAGGATTAAAGGAATGTCTGCAAAAACATCCTCATGATCTATGCAGAAAAGAGTGTCACAGGACTCAGTGAACCACAATTTACACCATCCACCTCCTCCCCCATAAAAAAAACAAACAGAATTTTGGCTTGCTTTATAATCCTTCAAAAACTTCTTCATTCCCATTTCCTGTGCCCTTCCCACCACTAATCACTCACTCCAAAAGAAGATTAATAACAACCATGCACGTCTTTGCTCACATTTTCTCAGTACTCCGGAATGTAATAATAATAGTTGGAGCAGTTAGGATTTCCTTTTAGAGTTTCACGGTTTCTTGACTCACCTTCCCTTTTGGGGTCTCGTACATGAAGTCACCTGACTTTAAGGAAAGAGATTTCCCCGTGCATGAAGCCGACGTGGCTGTGCCCACAGGCGACTTGTCAGGGGTGCAGGCGAGGTTGGCGTCCAGGGAGATAAGGTGCCCATCGCAGGGCCACTGCACCAGCCCATCCCTCCACGCAGCTTGATGCTGTGGAGTCGAGAACAGCAGATTCCCTCGTGTCAGTTGAAACCATCAGTGATGGGACCCATCATTTATCACTTACCTGTATGAGACTACACAGTAATGGGGGTTGTATCTTGAAAGATATCAGTGCTTTCTTGCCATCTGAAAAAGACGCGGTGTTAGGAGTGCTGGGGTTTTTGAAAGGAGATCTGCTGACATGAGACTGATGGTTAGGATAGAATCATGCGTGATTTGGAAAGCACTCTGTCATCTTCCAACATTAAGCCACCTAACCCCTCTCTGGCTGGTTCCTTATCCTTCGGATCCCACCTTGAGTGCCGGCTCCTCAGCTGAGCCTTCTCTGACAGTCCTCATCGCGTGGTGAATTTTCGTTTGCTTATTTCAGTAAACATTCCCTATTCTGCTATGCTAAAGGGCGGCAGGCCTTCTCTTGTGGTCTTGGGGCCTGGATCAGGGTTTGGTTCGTAGTAGGGGCACCGTAATCACCTGAGAAAAGAGTGGAAACAGCCAGACAGGTGGACATCAGTGACTGTGGAGTCAGGCTCTGAGGGGCACGTGGGACCCAGTCTACATCATGAGAAGAGAGTGGGGCACTTCTGATACTAGGAGCGATCACAGAAACAGAAAGGGTGAAGGAGAGGCGTCCTGAAGGAAAAACTCACTGCATCATTTCTGATGATCGACATGAATCGCTGATTAGGGCACATGAAGTTTAGGAGGAAAGGTGATTGCCGTGCGCCTCAGAGGAAGGAGAGTGGGTCACGGATCCTCAGTGGGAAGATCAGGGGGAGCTGAGGTGGGCAGAGCATTGCCATACACATCAACCTGCCCCCTCCCACAACTGCCACGCACGCTTCCCTCCACTTCCCTCGTGCGAGGCTCCACCATCTGAACCGATTCCCTTAAGACGGTGCCCCAGGACCACCCTGCAGGGGCTGAGAACCAAAGCCAGAGCGTCAGCTTTTCCTAAGGCTGGAAGACATGAGGAATATGATTAGAGGTTTAGGAAGAATCAGTATCCAGAACAGCAGAAAGAAGGCACCCAAAACACAGACCCAAATAACGAATGAGATGAAAACAGTAGCAGGAAGACGTGGCCCGGAGAGCGAGGAGCAGCAGGTGAATCTGATGGGGAGAAAGAATGCTGCAGACCCGTGTCCCTGGGGCCCTGGCAGCTGTCCAGGCTAAGCCAGGGTCCCACACACACGTGAAGCCCCTCTCTGCTCCGCAAAACCTACACCCCCGGGCCCCCAGAGGACAGAAGGAAAGGGGCCCAGAGGGGCAGGGGCATGGGGCCACATGGACAGGGAGGACCCCCACGCCAGTGCCCCTCCACCCCCACCGCCCCTTACTGAGAGCGCTGGGCTCTGAGAGGGAGAACGCCCAGGACAGACTACTGAGATGTGCCATGGAAACGGCTTTGCCAGCAAAGGACGTTCGGCGTGTTAGTGGTCATCTCTTAACCCAAAACCACGTGAACGTTTACCCAAACGATCTTGGAAATGCTTTTATAACTTGTTCAAAGCTTGGCCAAATGAAGTTTGAGTACTTTTTAGTCCTTGATTACAAATATAAAATTCTAACACATTTTGATTAGTTCACATCAATCTGCCTTGGAGAAAGATGAAAATTTACTAGTCAGGTTTCCACAAAAAGCCTTTGCATAGCTGGTGAGCACACGTGAACTAATGAACAGCCTGACTTAATGCGACCAGCAGTCCCTTCTCCATTTAGAGGTTGGAAGCCATCCTCTTTTCAGCCACGGCAGTGGACTGAAACCAACCATACTAGGCTGAACTTGGAAACTGACAGCGGAATTACTGTGTCACAGTCTTAAAGCAATATTTAAAATGACGTGTTTATTGTTCTCCTTAAAGACATTGGATATCAACTTTTTAATCGTTAGTATTTTTAAACTATTTTGTTTCACCTCATTTAAAACTTTTATCTTATAATTTAGTGAAACTTTAAATATTGACATAATGATATAAATTCAAACAACATGCTAATAAGGGTTTACAACCAAAACAGTTGATTATTCACTTTGGAGATATGAAGGCAGTTAATCTATGAAGCCTAAGTACTAAGAACATGCTTTCTCATCTTTTGTTATCAATTTTAATGAATAACTGCTGTGGCTGCTCCATACCCCAGCTCTTATATTTCCCTAATCATTCTGATTGTTTCTAAAGATGCCAACAAAAAACTTTACCGACTGGGAAGTTTCACTTCTTAAAAACCAAATGCAATTCTGTGATCTTTTTTTTTTTTTTAACATGGCAATGCAAGGGGTTTAGAAGTCTAAAGTAAAAAAAGAAATGACTGTCAAGAACAACGGTTGGACCCAATCAATTGAAACGTGTTGCCGTTAGCATTTCTCTGCCACACATGGGCTGGGGAGTGCCTCTGGTTTTTTTGGGGGGGGAGGGTTAATTATTTATTTATTTTTGGCTGCAGAGGTTCTTCAACGCGTCTCCAGTTGTGGTTGGAGGGCTTCTCAATGCAATGTCTTCTCTTGTTGCGGTCACAGGCTCTAGGTGCGCGGGCTTCAGTAATTGTGGCATACAGGCTCAGAAGTTGAGGCACACAGGTCCCAGCTGCTCCAAGGCTCATGGGATCCTTCGGGACCAGGGATGGAATGCGTGTCTCCTGCATTGGCAGATGGATTCTCAACCACTGGACCATTGGGAAGTCTTCCCCTCTGGTTTTAACTCAGGACAAATTAAGGCCCCTGGAGATTCCACATCTCAGGAGAGAACCTGAGTTGGGCTCCTTACTATACAGATCACCCTTCTAGAAAGTGAAGTACACCTTTCCTTGCCTTGAACTTGAATGCCATCAGAAGTGATTTGCAGAACTCACTGGAATTAAAGCTGGGTGATGTGGATTATTAACTAGTTGGTCAGGAGACTGAGGATCCCCCTGACCCTGCAGGTAACCATTAGCTGAAGCTCTCTTCTCCTGTTTTTCCCTCTGTAAAATGAGATAGAAAATAATTTTCCAGTATGAAACAGAAGGTTCCCTCCAATCTGAGATATTTTGAGCTATCCCAAACCCTTAAAGCAGTTTCCATTTAACACAATGTGGCTGGTAAATTATTTTTACATAGCAAGTTTCTGGATCTTCACCTGTAGAATGTTTGGTCATACTCGATAGAGGAGAGTTTCATAGAGGGGCTTCCCCTATGGCTCAGAAGGTCAAGAATCCGCCTTCCAAGGTAGGAGAGGAAGATTTGATCCCTGGGGGGCGAAGGTCCCCTGGAGGAGGAAACGGCACCTCGGCCCAGTATTCTTGCCTGGAGAATCCTCATGGACAGAGGAGCCTGATGGGCTACAGTCCATGGGGTCTCAAAGAGTCAGACAAGACTGAGCCCATGGCACAACGATGCTAGAGGAAGGAGATGGAAGGCTGGGGTGGTCTGACATGTCAGCTGTGGTTCCTGCAGTTTTCAAGTCTCCAGTGTTGTACCATCAGTGACAAAGTCAAAACCAGTCTATGAATCCTAACCCTATGGATCCCGAATCATATATACTTAGCTGGGGGGCCTCCGTTGAATGACTCACATGTGCACGCTCTCATTCCGGTTAGGCAGGTTCCAAAATTAATTGTCCTGGTTTGTATTACATCAGCTTGGTTAAGCCGAGACTACATTTCCCTGTGTCCCCTTGGCTCATGGTTCTAAATCAGAACTGACTCAAAGACAGGCTTGGGTGATTTTTGGAAGGTAAAGTGAAGCCAGGGCCACTTTTCTCTGCAGGGCGTCGGTCACCTACGGTGACGGACAGGCACGAGGCGTCGTGGGTCCGTTTGTCCTCGTTTTCCTCCTCTGGCTCCACCTCCGGCTCTTCTTCCATGTTCTGACCTTGAGCAGTTCCCGAGGCTGGCTCTGCTCCCACTACCAAACGCTGGCTGCTGATGCGGAGGTGGTCACTGCGCGGCGGCCACAGCGGCTCCCAGAGCCCCGCGCCCCCGCCCAGGCCTATGTCAGCACCTACATGCCTTCTGCCTCCCAGAAGGGCCACCATGGAGTTCTCATGACCTGCGCACCTCCTTCTGCACCTTCTCCTCTGCAGCTTCTCACACAGTAGCATTTTCTCTTATTCTGGTAGCAACTCCTGCATCCTACAGCCCTCAGAGCAATCTTTTTCCCCCCAATTCACCACCCAAAGCAAACACAGAACCCTAATGGACACTGCTGTTCTATCTCCATGTAACTCCTCATAGGGCTCCCAGCTGAGTGCTGTGCATTGAATCTACGTGTTTTGTGTTACAGGATGCTTCCTGGGGATTCAAGGTCTTCCATCTGAGAGGGTATAAATTTTATCAACAGACAGACAACCTACAAGTGCACACATGTGTGTGCATACAGTTGTGTGTGTTGGGGAACAACACAACAGGAAACTTTCTTAGTTTAAAAACTCGCCTCTGTGAATCCTCAGGCAATGATGTGAACAATGACTTTATCTGTCCCCAGCTAAGACACAGGCTGACTGTCCAACCTGTAAACACAAGCCCATGCCCACTGTCCTCCCCACCCACCCAGCGCCATCTCATAACAGCACTGGCTGTTACCATTGGCACGTACCATGGATGCGTCTGGTCTGAGCAGCGCTACTATGCACGCAGAGGAGAGATGTCACACTTGGGGAGCCACACTTGAAAGACAAGACGCCAGGCCCTCAGAGAACTCACTGCTGGCTTGGGAATAGCCACACTCTGACCCACAGGCATTCATACACGTGCTAAGTCACTTCATTCATGTCCAAGTCTTTGCAACCCTATGCACCATAGCCCGCTATGCTCCTCTATCCATGGGATTTCCCAAGCAAGAATCCTGGAGTGGGTTGCCATGCCCTCCTCCAGGGGATCTTCCTGACCCAGGGACTGAACCCACATCTCTTGTGTCTCCTGCACTGACAGGTAGTTTCTTCACCACTAGTGCCACCTGGGGTGGTCCTTGAGCTTTTTGCTGAAAAGCAAAAACCCAACATTTTTTTCAAAAA